TGCTATCCTCAGTGGTGACCCCACCTCCATCGTCTACAGCCCCAATAGAAAGAGGGGGTAACCCGGAGGCTAAAATTCTGGATGAAGAAGTGGAACTAGAAGAGGAAATGGAGCTCCCAGCAGGGTCGCCTGGTGGGGCAGTCAGCCAGGAACTTTTCTCCACTCCAGAAGTGCTCTGCGGGGAGTAGGAAGATGAGACGCCGGGTAAATTGCTGTGGCTTGCGTAGGGAATCGAAAAGTGGGAGGCAGGCAGTGCTTTGTGAGCTGGACATTGCCTTGTATAGCTAATCTGCATGGCCAAGCAGGGTGTCCATGGACATCGAGATCTGCAGGGAATCCTCCAGAGAGAGGCTCTGAAAAGTTTCCAAGAGGTACTTGTTAATCCTCTGCCGCAGATTCCAAGGGATTGCTGCCTTGTTAGTTCCCCCATTGTAGGAAACTGTACCATGCTGTTTAGCAATCACTAGAGCTGGGACCAAAGCGGCACCTAGCTGAGCTGCATATAGAGTGGATTGAAAGCCACAAGCATGCAGTATTTGTGCCCTGGTTTCCCTGCTCACCCACAGCAGTGAGATGTCAGCCAGCAGGTTGGCCACCTGTGGAAAAAGTGTGATAATTTTAGAATGAGTTCCCTGCAAAGCTGCCCTGCAAGCCATGACCGTTTTGGCCGTACACACAACCGCCTTCCCCCCACTCCCGACACTCACCATGATTGGGGTGCTCATGGAGCTGTGCCCGCCTAGAGTCAGTGAGAAAACGATTGCTACTTTGCAAAAGGCCCTTATTACTGAAATGTTTCAATTGTTTGCTGGAATGTAACAATCCCTCTTCTGTGCAATGTCCACAGCATCAGAGACCTTGAGGAAGACACCACGCACCCCTATTGACCGGCTTCGGCAGATAAGGAAGACTCCGAGATGCAGCAAAGAAGACATGTTCCGGGAGGTGCTGCAGCACAATGAGAGACAGACCAGGGAACGCAAAGAGTGCTGGGAAACCAATGCAGCATTTGCTAGGCAAGCGACAGAGCAGATGATAAAAGTTATGGAGGATCAGACAGAGATGCTCAAGTCTCTGATACAGCTGCAGACTGAGCAGATCCGTGGTTTACCTCCATTGCAGCACATGCACATGTACAATTCTTTGCCAACCCCACTCCCCTCTATGCCCACACATTCCTTTTCACTTCACAGCACTCCTGAGTTTCCCCATCACTCTATCCCCTCTCACAGCTTGGACAATGATAGCTGGAGCCACACGCTGTTGTAAGGTTTTACCCTTTTTAACAATAAATAAAGGCTAAGGTATTTAATGGTACAGCATTTTTATTCTGTGTTCTACAAAAGTGTATAGCAATCAATTCAATCTCGGGAACAGGCTTCTAAAGCGTTTTGTTACGTGGAGCGTGGGCCCCAAAATTGTACATGGATGCACCAGGGAAGCAACTCCAAAGCAGACATCTGTTAGTGCCCCCCATTGTCAAAGTGGTTCCTCAAAGCCTCTCTGATGTTAATAGCAGCCCTCAGGGCTCCTCTGACAGCCCTAACATCTGGCTGTTCAAACTGTGCAGCCAAGTGCTCTGCCTCAGTGCTCCACATCTGAGCAAACATTTCACCCTTAGATTCACACAGATTGTGCAAAGTGCAGCATGCAGCTGTGACCATGGGAATATTATCTTTGGTAAGGTCTAGCCTGCCATTGAGACACCTCCAGCAACCTTTCAAACGGCCAAAGGCACATTTGACTACCATGCGGCACTTGCTCAGCCTGTTGTTAAAATGCTCCTTGCTGCTGTCCAGGTGTCCTGTGTAAGGTTTCATGAGCCAGGGCTGTAAGGGGTAAGCTGGGTCTCCTAGGATTACTATGGGCATTTCCACATCCCCCACTGTGATCTTGTGGTCTGGAAGAAAGGCCTCACTTGCAGCTTTCTGTACAGGCCACTGTTCCTGAAGATGCATGCGTCATGCACCTTTCCAGACCAGCCTGCACTGATGTCCATGAAACACCCCCGGTGATCCACAAGTGCCTGCAACACTGTGGAGAAGTGTCCCTTCCTATTGATGTATTCTGAGGCAAGGTGGTGTGGCGCTAAAATTGGAATGTGTGTGCCATCAATTGCCCCGCCACAGTTAGGGAAACCCATCTCTGCAAAGCTATCCACTATTTCATGTACATTTCCCAGAGTCACAGTCCTCAAAGTGTGCAATTTATTGCCCTGCACACTTGGAGTAATACAGCCCCAACAGTGGACTTTCCCACTCCAAATTGATTTGCAACTGACTGATAGCAGTCTGGATTCGCCAGCTTCCACACAGTGATTGCAACACTCTTCTCTACCGAAAGGGCAGCTCTCATTCTGGTGTCCTTGCACCGCAGGTCGGGGGCCAGCTCAGCACATAGCTCCATGAAGGTTGCTTTACGCATCCTAAAGTTCTGTACCCACTGGTCGTCATCCCACACCTGCATGACAGTGTGATCCCACCAATCAGTGCTTGTTTCCCTAGCCCAAAAGCGACGGTCCACCGTATGCAGCTGCTCTGTGAATGCCAAAAGCACTGATAAGTTGCTGCTGTCCATATCACACAAGGGTGCCTGCAATTCATCCTCGGTCAGTAACTTTGCGAGTAACTCTGCTGCCATGTGCGATGTTCTCATGACAGTTAACAGCACATAGGAGAGAAGTGCGAGATCCATCTTCTCTCACTGCAGATGCTGGTGCGCACTACAAAGTGACAGTTGGAAAAATGGCGTGAAAGGAAAGCCAGAACGGCACAAAAGAAAGTCAGAAACCATTGGAGGGCTGGGACACAAAGCAGTGCATGATGGGACATTTTGCACATCCCAGGATGCACCTCCCTCCGTTTCCGCCTTCCCACAACACCTAGCAACAGATGGTGTCGCCAGGCACTGTGGGATACATACCCACAGTGCATTGCTCATGCTGTCGACAATGGTGCGCCGAATGTGGACATGATCTGTCGACAGAGGGAGCAAATGTAGACTTGTTTTGGCGACTTTGATTTTTTATTTTTTTTCGTGTTGACATTAGTTTCATCGACAAAACTTGCCAATGTAGACAAGCCCTCAATCTGCAGGCAGCCTGAAATAGCTCTGGGAGATGTGGCTGCTCCCATCCGTCTCAATGGAATATATTAACTCTGAAACCTACCCATGACATTCTAAGTATCAGAATTGTTAATTATTTCAAAGCTGACCATTTTAGCAGACATATCAAGCTAATGTGCTTACTCCATAAACCTGACTCACCATTTGTACCTTCCCAGGTGACATAACCTCATACTTGCCTTTGACCAGCTGCCAGAACCTCCGGCTTGCCCTTGACATCTTCTGCAAAGCTACTATGCCTTAACAATGTAAACATCTGTGATATACTGAAAATGACATTTAATGGCAGCATGAAATAAACAAGAGTGAATATGCAGGTATATAAGAGCAGGGATCCTGTATTGACTGGATCATTCCTTTTGTATTTAAATCAATAAAAAACTCATCTTTTTAATTTAACTGCTGCTGCTGCAGAATTTGCAGTCTACCATACCAGTGGGAGGGAGGGGGAGTGCGTGTGCATGTGTACGCAGAAATGAAGGCAGCCCATCACAGATTATGGGTCCTGTTTGATCCAGGGCACTTGGGGCTTTGAATATAACGGTCATAGTGGGTCAGACCAATGGTCCATCTAGCTCAGTATTCAGGGCCGCCCAGAGGATTCAGGGGGTCTGGGGTCTTCAGCGGTGGGGCTCCTTCCACTCCGAGTCTTTGGGACACTTCGGCGGCGGATCCCGGAGCGAGTGAAGGACCCGCTGCCAAACTGCCGCCGAAGACCCGGAGCGGAAGGAGCTCTCGCCGCCGAATTGCTGCCCAAGACCCAGAGCGGTAGAAGCTCCGGGTCTTCGGCAGCGGGTCCTTCACTCGCTCCGGGTGTGTTCGGCGGTACTGAAGGACCTGCTGTCGAAGTCCCGCCGAAAACTCTCGTGGGGGCCCCTGAAAACTCTCATGGGGGCCTCTGTGGGGCCCGGGGCAAATTGCCCCACTTGCCCCCCCTCTGGGCAGCCCTGTCAGTATTCTGCCTTCCGATAGTGACCAGTGCCAGATGCTTCAGAGGGAATGAACAGAACAGGGCAATGATCCACTGATTCATCTCTCATCGTCCACTCCCAGTTTCTGGCAGTTAGAGACTTGCATCTCTGATCATCTTGGCTAATAGCCATTGATGGACCTATCCTCCATGAACTTATTTAATTCTTTTTTGAACCCAGTTATACTTTTGGCCTTCACAACATCCCCTGGCAACAAGTTCCACAAGTTGACTGTACGTTGTGTGAAGAAGTACTTCCTTCTGCTTGTTTTAAACCTGCTGCCTATTCATTTAATTGGGTGACCTCTGGTTCTTTTGTTATGTGAAGAAGTAAATAACACTTATTCACTTTCTCCACACCATTCATGATTTTATAGACCTCTATCGTAGCCCCCTTAATCGTCTTTTTTCCAAGCTGAACAGTCCCAGTCTCTTTAATCTCTCCTCATACAGAAGTTGTTCCATACTCCAATTATTTTTGTTGCCCTTCTCTATATAATAAAACTGGAAAAGGTATCTTTTTTTTTTAGACGGGATGACTAGAACTGCACACATTCAAGGTGTGGGTGTGTCATGGATTTATATAGTGGTATTATGATATTTTCTGTCTTATTATCCATCCATTTCCTAATGGTTCCTAACACTGTCAACTTTTTTGACCACTGCTGCACACTGAGTGGAGGTTTTCAGAGAACTATCCACAATGACTCCAGATCTCTTTCTGGAGTGATAATAGCTAATTTAGATCCCATCATTTTATATGTATAGTTGGAATTAAGTTTTCCAACGTGCATTACTTTGCATTTATCAATATTGAATTTCATCTGCCATTTTTTGCCTCATCACCCAGTTTTGTGAGATTCCTTTGTAACTCTTGAGAGTTAGTTTTAGACTTAACTATCTTGAGTAAGTTTGTATCATCTGAAAACTTTGCCACCTCACTGTTTACCCCTTTTCCCAGATCATTTATGAATATGTTGAACAGCACTGGTCCCAGTATAGGTCCTGGGGGGACCCCGCTATTCACCTTTCTCCAGTCTGAAAACTGACCATTTATTCCTACCCTTTGTTTCCTATATTTTAACCAGTTACCGAGAGGACCTTCCCTCTTATCCCATTACTGCTTTCTTTGCTTAAGAATCTTTGGTGCGGGACCTTGTCAAAGACTTTCTGAAAGTCCAAGTACAGCATATCCACTGGATCACGTTTGTCCACATGTTTGTTGACCCCCTCAAAGTATTTTAATAGATTGATGAGGCGTGGTTTCCTGTTACAAAAGCTGTGCTGACTCTTCTCAATGTTCATTCATGTCCTCTCCTCCCCAACTGAAAAGGGATAGAAAGGGAGGAATTACCTACACACATCCAGCACATTTATATGCAGAAAAATCCACTGTGTTCTGTCCTTTGGAAAGCAGTGGCAGAGACAGGGCAGAATTGGCTGTGGGCATTGCCGGCCAAACCAGTGTTGGCTGCGGTCTGTAGGAAGATCATAGCAAAATCCAGTGTGTCTCACATTCATACGTTGTGTAAGCACTACCACAGAGAGTTTAAGGCCAGAAGGGACCACCAGATTTTCTAATTTGAGCTCCTGTGCAGGGCCGCCCAGAGGGGGC